TAAACAAAATCCACTTTTAGTCCATTTTAGTCAAGGAGCATGATTACATGCAATTTTACACTGGTAACAGTGTTATCATCAAGGAAAAGTCATAAATGCTTTGAGCGAAATGTGATCAGCATACCTGCAGTTATCTAGAAGTGTTTGGAAAATTGTAATTATGCTGTTTAACTGTCTACTAAACTGAGTAAAAATTGCAGAGAGAGATGATAGTGTTTCTCAGTGTATTTGAGGTAACTTGAGCGAACATGTCACAGCGGTGCCCCTAGCCAAACCAGATCAAAGGCCTCCACACACGCACAGAGGTCTCTTTGTTCAGTGTGATCTCATGTCCCAGCTGGCTTATGTCATCCTAGTGCTACAACATTACAGTACAACCTGCCCCAAGGCTGGCTCAGGTAGAAAACATTAGAATAGTCTAATAAAGCACATGCAGGTGTGTGTGTGCGAGCAGGTGAGCGAGGCAACCCTAAGACTGCATATGATTCCTAATAATAAAGCTTCTAACAATAAATCTCCATTGTTTTTTTTCTTGCACCTTAAGTTCAGCAAAAAACATTTTTGATCTCATTACTATTAATATAAAGTGTAGAACTAGCACACTAGCAGTTTTGAGTGTGTGTATTTTTTCACTTCTGAACATAAATACAACTTTTGATCAACTTAAAAAGTGTTTATGAATCTTCTGTTTGGGTTTATCAGATATAGAATGTATGCAATTAAATTGATTATTTTTTAATTGTATTTACAAAAAGCCTAACTTTGATGTTTGTTTCAGTTGTAGGTGATTTTTCATACCTGTTGAGCTTTGATGATAATCAAATTCCTGCCAAACGATATATCTTGATTTTATTTGTTAATAAATTTGTAGAAATATATTAGTGGGATATTGGTATTTAGCCTCTATTATTATTAGTAGTAGTATTAACATTAGTATTAGTATGATTATTGCCCAAAGAATAAACAGTTCTTTAAAGAACATTGTTTTCTTAGTGTGAAAAACATTTTAGAATTAAATAAAATTTATTTTTATGAGTTTACATACAGATATCTATAAATGCTAATAAAATCATACTGGGTGCAGACAACTCTTTGAAATATTCCATCAGACAAAATGTGAAATAGTGTGTTGAATGCACATGTATACGTTACTGACTGTCAGTTGTTACTGTACTCATGTGAATCTGTCCGTATTTCCACTAACCCAGGGGTTTTATTTTCCCAGGAACTTTGCCACTGCAATATAAACCACAGGCTGTGTCTGCCAGTGTGAAGCGAACACCATGTTCCATGTACAAAAAACGAAGTCCATGCCATTCATCGCTCAAGAACATTCCCCTTATTCCACCGAAGTTCACAATACCCTCTGCCAAATGGCCAGCCAGCCTCTCCACATGTCCTCCAAAACCTTCTCCACAACATCTGTGATGAGAGATGTGTCTACCAGCTCCAAACAGAGGCGTGTTTTAGAGCCTGCTTCCCACTTAATAACAAACCAGCTTTACAAGTCAAAACTCTGCTAGAATACTATTAACATCAGAGACATTTGGAGTTGACAGAGGTTTTGTTAACTAGTTTATTTGCACAATGCAAACTTCAGCTTAGGATAGTTTAAGGAGAAAATGAAAAGTCCTTCAGATGTGTGGCCTAGGATTTTTTCCACATTTTCTAGCCTGAATTTTAAAGAGGTTTTAATGTAGTTTGAGTGGCTACGCTTTGATATGCGTTCCTTGAATCCACTTGAGAGAAGCCCTCACCGCAGGGGCTACCAAGGGGAAAGAGTGCAAAGACACATAAATGCACCGGCTCTCCAGATGTGTAATTACTTAATTTCCTTGCATATAAAACAATGCTATAATTAAAAGGAAGTATGCAATTTACCACAAGTAAAGTAGACCAAATAATTTATGAACAAATTCAGTGCGTATGATTATTAGAGCAATACCAAAAACACAATAATGCATGTTCCACAATTCTGCATGTGGTGTAATTTTTTATATGGTTAATTGGGCCCTGCATTAGTTGTCAGTGCATTGTAAATCTTAATACAGTGGGTACGGAAAGTATTCAGACCCCCTTAAATTTTTCACTCTTTGTTATATTGCAGCCATTTGCTAAAATCATTTAAGTTAATTTTTTTTCCTCATTAATGTACACACAGCACCCCATATTGACAGAAAAACACAGAATTGTTGACATTTTTGCAGATCATTCAAAATGTTTTTTTTTTTTTTATAAGTAAATACATTCTTTTAGAAAGGATGCATTGAATTTATCAAAAGTGGCAGTAAAGATTTTTACATTGAGAAACATTTTGTTTAAGCTGACATTCAGCTGATGAACTGTCAATTAATAATAAATTAAAAAAAATAAAATAAAAAGCCTGCTAATACTCATAATCATAATCTAATACTCAATGTTTTACATCTCACAGATGTTCTGGCTGCATGTCTGATTTCACAGTTGCAATGTTGACTGCACATGGGTGAGTAATGTTTTGACAAGCAACCACAACACTGATATTTGTAGTAGCAGATGCAGTCTGGCAACACTACAGTTACTTTTTCATTATGTAGTTTTTGTTCTATGACAAACTGCTGAAAACAGTATAGCAAATATGCTTAGCACAGCATCATTCTGAGATTTTTCTTCAGATTTTTGCACCATCAATACGACCAACTGGACACGGGCAATTTAATTGACAAAACACACACACGTCTCACATTCCCACAGAGGAGCAAATTTGTGGGATTCCTTCACAGTCTCCGTATCAGCCATTACGACACACAAAGGACCTTCATCCCTGCAGATGGAAGTCTCTGTGTTTAAACATTCACAGCCTATCCTGAAAAGAGTCACATAATTCCAGCAAATTGGACACAGTGATTAGTGCAGGGAGAGAGAGAGAGAAAAAAAAACAGAGCCCATTCATAACTTCAGTGGTCAGGAGAAACGCAATTATTCCCAAAGGGTTTGACAAAGGGTGAGAATTTATGCCGCAAAAGTAATTTTATGTTTGTTTTCTTTATTTTTAAGACATTTGCACAGATCCATCAAACTGTCACGCCTTGTGCATATATTCAGGAAATGTCTTTCAGCTCATTTGAGAAAAGAGAGTGAGAGAAAAACATTGGCCGCGTAGTTTATTTCTTTATTTTTTCCTGGCTTGAAGAAAGTTGACAGCCTTCCACAGTTGTTTTAGCTCAAGCACATTTCTTAACATTTTTTGCCAGCTTAGTTATTCCACTCACTTTTTGTCCATTATACCTGATGGGCTGCACTTTTTAAACACATCTGCTGTGTTTAAAAAAAAAGGTATACATGCAGTATATGCAGACATACTGAAAATGGATGAGTAATCTAGCACATGCTGTTATCTAGCAAATAACATTGATGTTGCAGTTCTTGTGTTTTATTGTGTCATTTTAAATTAAGGGCCATTCCCTTTCTAAAGGATGAGGGGTTTACGACTACCAGGCCTGTTTTTTTTAGCCTTGTGTCGCATTCCCAAGACTCCTGGCAACTCTTCTGGATGGATGCGATCCTCATGGATATAACAAAGCACAAAGGATGAATAGAATGTGTGAAAGAGTGATGCTGAAAAGACAGACTGCATGTTGATTTAATGGAGTAACTGTTTTTAAAGGATTTCTGTTTTTATTTATTTGTTTCTTTTTATCTATACTTTCAGCAGAAGGAAGTCCAGAAATCCATCAGAGAAGAAGAGAGGGGTGGGAAAGATAGTATTAGGGCAAGTTTGCCTTTGCACTTTTGCATGACCTGGTATGTTAACTAAATCTGTCGGTGAAATATACCTGTGGAGACAGACAGGTAACCTTTCATTACGGCTGTAATCCCTCCTAATAACAGAGATGTGATGTCTGATATGGTCCATTACACAGAGCAGCAAAAGACAAGCTACTGTTAAACTCTAACAGCATCCTGAATATATGTGAATGAACCACACAAACACTCACCCATCTTATACATGCAGAAAATATACAGATACATATAAAAGCACAACAAAAATACAAGAAAACAGTTTTTCTTATATTCTTTAGTAAGTATATGTGTCATAAAATACCCCAAAATGCACTTTCATTCAGTGTCTCACACTTCCATAGACTCTTATAGACTCTTCATTCCTTAGTTGAAAAGTTAACATAAGCCAATAAACTGATACAATCATGAAACAATTAGAAAAAATAGTAAAAAGTTTGATGGAAATGCATATCTTTCTTTTAAGGGATTTTTTTCTTAGAAATCTTCTTCTAGTGAGTAAAATAGTAGCTTCCTGCACTTTTTATTTCATTCTTATAATTACTAATATTGACCTCAAACAGTGCTGTGCAATATTGTGAGGATACTTTTTAGCTTAAGTTCTCACTTTAATTTGATGTCCAAATACCAAAAAGGTTCAAGAGATAGTTACTAATGACACTGAGGGTTTGATTTTTATTAGAAAATAAGCAAATCAGATCTGGTCTGTTTTTACACTTTTAATCTGATCTACCAATTGGTTAGGAAAAAGATGCAGGGATTAGTGTGAAGCATTTATATTATTAATGTTAATACTGTTAATACAGAATTATTCAATCATGAGATGGCTTTATTTGCTTTATTTATTTATTTTTTAAATTTCCATTTATTACCCCACAAATAGTTTTTCATCTACTAAAATAAACATAGTATTAATACTATCAAATCTATTTTATTATAAATGCTAAATATTTACAGAGTAACTTTTTTAAATTTGGCTTGTGTGTGCTGCTTTATTTTAGTTTTTGAAAAACAGGCGTTGACCTTTCACAACAACTGACAAAACCAGCGCCACAGCAAAATTAAAAAACAATTATAATACAACTACTAATAAATTATTTATTTATTATTATTATTATTGTTGTATAAAATAATATCCAATGCAATGTTACATTTATCTAAATTAGATGTAAATGATAATGAATTATGATAATTCGCATCATGGATCATGTGTAACTTACCTGTACCAGTCCAGTCCGTTGTCATAGTTACGATCGAAGAAGTGCGGCTCCGCACCGACAGCGCGAATATCTGGATGCACGCGCAGAAACTCCAGCAACGCGCGCGTTCCGCCTTTTTTCACGCCGATGATGATCGCCTGAGGCAGCTTCTTACTGCCCTCACCTAACGCGCTTAGTTTACCTGTATCAAAATACGAGCCTACCGGCTCCAGATCTACATCCAAAGAGTTCGACAGCTTTACGTGTGCCTGAAAAATGTGTTCATTTGCCTCAATTCCAGGTAGATCCTCTTCACTGACCCTTTCGAGCCGGTGGATTAAGCTGTGGTGCCTCATCACCAGATGTCCCGTGGAGGTCCATTTCTGAAGTCTCTTTCTCCTCAGCGACTCAAAATCTTTCAGTTTCGAGACGTAAAATCCCTCCACCGGACTCGTTTCTCTTCTCTCTGTGGGTATACAGGTCCCGCATCGCTCCGTGAGGCAGTGGAGAAAGTATAAAGACGCGAGTATAGACAGCAACATGACCGCGAAGGTCCTAAAGATGCTCTTGGACGGAGGGTCCGAAAAGACGCGGCTACATGCCATGTCGGTCCACGGGTGGCATGCATTGTAGAGACAGCCATGCTAAACTGGCATTATTCAGTCTTGCCATCAAAAAAATAAGGCAGAGTTTGGAGCTCGAGAGCATCAAAGGTGGATTAGAGTTCGCACGCGCCACTTTCCAGAAACCCTCGCGCATATGTAAAGCCCCTTGTCGTTATGTAAACTCTTACTAGTTTAAGAAACAGATTAGTGCGAATTTTAAATTACTATGTTAGAAGAGTTCATTTAAATGATTTCTTTAATAATTTGTTTTAATCCAAATTTATACAGAAACAATAGCCTAGCCCCTTTAAGTAAAATCCAGCGTTTGCTTCGAAATATTTGTGAAATTCTGATAAACTTTCATTGCACTAGTAGCTCACACGTGTGTGTCTTGTATCTAACTACAGAATGACGTCGCCTGAAGTGACTGACATGTCGCGGTCCAATCAGGTTTTTACAAACCTTTCCCGAGCACATGTAATTTGCATGCCTGTAACCAATGGGGTGCAGGATGGGCAGCGCAGACTCCGCCCACCTGTCAGTTCAGCTGAGGAACGGTCACGCTCGTGTTAAAAACATGTCATATTCAGCGCCCGTGGCCGCAGCCAACCAAATGCAGGTTTGTAGTTTACGCAAGGTGGCTGTAGAGAAATCAAGAGATGGTGTGTCGATTCATCATCAACATATTCACCAAATAAATTAATACATTTCAAAGTAACACCACTGCTAAGATTCAAATGCCTCTACAGTCAGTGTTATAATTTTGTTGTTAAGATGTTAAAACATCATTTTGCAGTAAATCCCTTACTAAATCTAGTTAGAAATCAGGCCAAAATGCTTTGTCGTTTTGTTTGGAAATTTTAAACTAATGCTAAACATATGATAAGCCATTGAATAGAGGAACAATTTAGTATGAAACTGATATGTTGTTTGATCTCTTGTGCAAGTGTGTGTTTACACAGTCAGGGTAATGGTTTAATTAGATTATTTCAGACATGCATTACTGCATGACTAAATCTATAAACATGATCTCCAAATCTACAGGGTGTGTGCACTTCATCATTTGTGTGGATGGATGTGTGTGTGTGTGAGAGAGAGAGATAGAGAAAGTTGGTGTCCATTCCATCAGTTTTCACCACTATTTATCTTTTATGTCTTTACAGATATATCACTGACAGAACATTTGGCCTTTCTTTTGCTTTTCCCTTAATCCGTCATTCTTCAAACTCCGATTACATTCGGACCTCAGCGCACTTCAGGCCACCAAAGACGTCCGTCATTTCCCCCCAGTATTTATTTATTAGATATCTAATAACAATAACGCATGTCTTTTCAAGCAGTTGTGTAAACTAGGCACATCATCATAATGGAAATGAAACTTACCTGTACCAGTCCATTCCGTTGTCATAGTTACGGTCGAAGAAGTGCGGCTCCGCTCCGACCGCGCGAATATCTGGATGCACGCGCAGAAACTCCAGCAACGCGCGCGTCCCGCCTTTCTTCACGCCGATGATGATCGCCTGAGGCAGCTTCTTACTGCCCTCACCTAACGCACTTAGTTTACCTGTATCAAAATACGATTCTCCCGTCTCCAAATCTACATCCAAAGAGTTTGACATCTTTACGTGCGCCTGGAAAACGTGTCTGTCAGCATCAATAACAGGTAAACCCTCTTCACGGACACTTTCGAGCCGGTGGATCAAGCTGTGGTGCCTCATCACGGTCCATTTCTGAAGAAGTCTCTTTCTCCTCGGCGACTCAAAATCTTTAAGTTTCGAGGCGTAAAATCCCTCCACCGGACCCGCTTCTCTTCTCTCTGTGGGTATACAGGTCCCGCATCGCTCCGTGAGGCAGTGGAGAAAGTATAAAGACGCGAGTATAGACAGCAACATGACCGCGAAGGTCTTAAAGATGCTCTTGGGCGGAGGGTCCGGAAAGACGCGGCTAAATGCCATGTCGGTCCACGGGTGGCATTAGTTGGAGAGACAGCCATGCTAGACTGGCATTATTCAGTCTTGCCATCAAAAAATAAGGCAGAGTTTGGAGCTTGAGAGCATCAAAGGTGGATTAGAGTTCGCACGCGCAGCTCTCCAAAAATCCTTGCGCATATGTAAAGCTCCTTGTCGTTATGTAAACAGTTACTAGTCTGAGAATTAGTTTAGTGCGAATTTTAAATTACTATGTTAGAGGAGTTCATTTGAATTATTTCTGTAATAGTTTGTTTTCAATCCAAATTTATAGCGAAAAAATATCGGAACCCCTTTAATAAGTCCAAAATTCAAAAAAAGCATAATTTAAAAAAAAATGTATCCAGCGTTTGCTTCAAATGATTTGTGAAATTCTGATAAACGTTCATAGCACTAGTAGCTCACACGTGTGTGCCTTGCATCTAACTTCAGAATGACGTCACCTGAAGTGACTGACATGTCGCGGTCCAATCAGGTTCCACAAACCTTTCCCGAGCGCATGTAATTTGCATGCCAGTAACCAATAGGATGCAGGATGGGCAGGGCAGACACCGCCCACCTGTCAGTTCGGCTGAGGAACGGTCACGCTCGTGTTCAAAGCAAATGTCACATTCAGCGCCCGTGGCCACAGCCTAACAAATGCAGGTTTGTAGTTTACGCAAGGTGGTTGTAGAGAAATCAAGACATGGTTTGTAGATTCATAATAATCGCCATATTCACCAAATAAATTAAAAAGTAACTACACTGCTAAGACTCAAATGCCTCTCCAATCAACGTTATAATATTGTTGTTAAGAATGTAAACATTATCTTACAGTAAATCCCGTACTTAAGTCAGGCCAAAATGCTTTATTTTGTTTGGAAATATTATATAGAATTGTAAGCTAATGCTGAACATGTGATAAGCCATTGGATAGAGGAAAAAATTTAGTATGAAACTGATACGTTGTTGGATCTCTTGTGCAAGTGTGTGTTTACACAGTCACGGTAATGGTTTAATAAGATTATTTCAGACATGCATTACTGCATGACTAAATCTATAAACATTATCTCCAAATCTACAGGGCGTGTGCACTTCATCATTTGTGCGGATTGATAAGAGAGAGAGAAAAAAGTTGGTGTTCATTCCATCACAGTTTTCACCACTATTTACAGTATCTTTTATGTCCTTACAGATACCTCACTGACAGAACATTTGGCTCTTCTTTTGCTTTTCCCTTAATCCGTCATTCTTCCAACTCCGATTACACTCGGCCCTCAGCGCACTTCAGGCCACCAAGGACGACTGTCATTTTCCCCCCCGTTGTTACCGTATTCTCTTTCGTTTTAAATAAGGAGAAGAACACAGCATGGTGAAATAAAAGTAAAAGCAGCACATTATTTCTTTACAAGTGAACAAGAACAGAACCAAATGTTTCACATCTGCTCCTGTAGTTTTCAGCATTACCATGAGAAAGCCAAAGGAGTGTTTCAATGCAGTACAGCCCACTGCTTCAGAATGGAGATGGAGACCTCAGTCAAAACACGGCTTGCTTGTGCCAGATGTCCCCGTGATGAGGACACAATGCAAGGGCTGACTCGCATTTAACAAATCACACCCTGGCCTTTTCGGCCATCCCGGGAGAAAGAAGAGGCAACAACCATAGCCGGGCCGTCCCCCTGCGATGCCCCCTGGGTCAAATGTTTTTGCACCACCATTATTGGTTTCATGATAAAGGAATGTGTGGAAACGTTGTATCTGAGTGGACAGGCCAGTCCACTGAAATTTAAATCACAGGCTGAGAGAACTTCATTGCACAACATCGTGCCAGTGTTTATGTATTTTTGGGTTTGTCCTTGCAGTTTTGTTACTGCAACTTTTGTAGAAGTATGTGGTTTTTTTGTTCTCTTGAGTAACACAGAAGTGGAAATCTCAGAGCGTAATTATACAGTGCATTTGGCTTGAATAAAAAAATATAGAACATATAGACAAATAATAGATAACTCTCTTTCATCTCTGTTACTCTTGATACGTATTGAATTATAAAACAGGCTCAAGGATTTACAACAAATAATTGCAAGTATCTGCATTTTTCGTTTGTTAAGAGAGTTCAGATATATCCATTTTGAAATCACAATACAGTTTTTTATGAGATGAACAGCTGTTATTCTATTCCTTGTTGTTTTTAATAGGATCTCAATGTTTTTATGGTCAGCAAGCGTAATCTCAAGTAGACAAGAAAACGACTTGCGCATCAGAAATGTGAATCTCGGGCCCCCACGTCTTGCTGCAGTGAGCTTGCTGTAGTTTTCTCTGGACAGCTTTATGTGTGGATTTGGGACATCTCTGCATGAGAGAGACATCTTTACGGCCATTGCTGTTGGAAAAATACAGTGCAGGTAATGCATTTCAGTTATAAAAACAGAATGGCGTATGAGGTAACTGTCCAGTAAAACATGATTTCATGATGTCCAGATAGATAGATAGTTGGATATATAGATAGATTAGTGTGCTTTATATTATATATTTGAATACAACTTTTTATTTTCCTGTAATACAGGATTGGCTGAGAGGAATTATACACCCAAATTCTAAGCAAATGGTTAGGAAATGTATTTAGATAAACACATCTGTGGTTCAGACGTGCAAGCAAAGTGTTTTTCCGGTACTGAAGAGGAAGGATTTTCATTCACAACTGCGGACACGCAAATAAATCATGCTCTTAGTCAAATTAAGAGTCAGATTTGAAATGCTGCTTAAATGATTAGATCAAGATTGATAGCAAAGAACCGCCCAAGGCTTATTTATATCAAATTTTATACCTTTATGAGTGCCAACAATAAACCCTCAGTGTAAAATAGATTTCCAGAAAAAGTGTGACAGTGTTCATTAATCAGATTTTGAATCCCTAATTAAGTTCAAATGTGATTAACTGTGTGTGTGCTAGTGTGTGTGTGTGTGTCATATTTGTGTGATGACTGTGTCACATTCCTACCTCTAAGAGGCAGCACGACTCAGCCCAACTTGGAGAAGGTTTGATGGGCAGCATTGAGT